CCACCCCCCGGACCCTTGATTAATTTTACCTCCATCTTATTGCTGGAAAGTTGATTCTCTCATCCAGATGCCCTTGAATCTGCAAAGAAGCTTGCTATAGATGTCCTGGTCTAATTTAAGAATTAGACATGGCTTGCTTGTCCCGTTTGGGTGCATTGGCGCCAAAGATAAGGAAATAGAGATATATAAATTATCTCTGTTTGTAATCATGGAAAAGAGAAAAGTCACCTCTACTTGGTTCACTTAATCATATAATAGAGAACAACTGAATTCAAGAAAATTGAAAATGAAGCAATAAAAAGAGTTTTTGATGAAGTGAGTTGCTTGCCCCTATACAATGTCTCTATCTAGGACAAGAGTGCTAACAAACTCCAAAAAGTGTCCAGTACTAGTTACTGGGGACAATTTTGTCCAGCAATAAAGAGTGGTTAAACATTTAGCTTTAAGTGAGTGGTTTGGAGTTGAGATTCCATCAAACATCTTCTGTTTCTCTCATTGCATAGACACCAACAAATAACTGCAGGGATCATAAGCCAGATCTTTTTGATGAACTTATCAACTTTCTAAAGACTCCAACTCAAATATGCCTCTCTCAGAATCTGTGGCATGACCCATCTTATCCCAAAAATACAGTAGGACATTTTGTTCTGTTTCATAGTGCTCATTCTATCAAATTCACTTTTGTGCAGAAGAACAGCGTGTGCACGATCAGAAACAATGCAAATGTTTGCTGCATTCAGTTTTCACCTGACTCCAGTCATTTTCTGGCTTATAGCTCTGCTGATTACAAGACTTATTGCTATGATCTTCGAAATATCTCAGCTCCTTGGTGTATATTGGCTGGCCATGAGAAAGCTGTTAGTTATGCAAAATTCTTGGATGCTGAAACGCTCATTTCTGCATCCACTGACAACAGCCTGAAGATATGGGATCTCAATAAAACCAACTCAAGTGGCTATTCAGCCGATGCTTGTGTCTTAACCCTTAAAGGGCACACCAATGAGAAGGTTGGCTATTTATAGAACATCAGTCATTTTTGCTTGTATATCTATGAAGTCCCAATTCTGAATTGCCACTTAAACTTAATGATACTATTACTGCTCTTCGCTGTCAATACCATTATTGTTGTACGAATTGACATCTTCTCTTTTATTCTCAGAACTTTGTGGGATTGTCTGTGAGCGATGGATACATAACTTGCGGGTCAGAAACAAATGAGGTAGGTTCCCTGCTCCGCGTTTTAATGAAGAATACGAAATATGAATCTCTTCTATTCCTATGACTGAAGATGGGGCCTAATAGGAAAGGAGGTTTGAGGTGTTAAGTTTGACCCATCCTGGGATATATACGGTCACATATCATTGACATTGATAATTTTCATTTGGTTGATCAAGTTATTGGATGTCCTACATTTTAGTTTCCTTAAACTGAGGTCTTACTTTTCTTCTGTTTGCAGAAGAAACACATCTGCTAGTCACTGCGACGTCTTCATTCCCTCAGAAAAATGAACATCTGTTGCACTGTTGCTGATTACAATTTCCTCATTTGAAACCATTTTTTCTTTAGAAAAGAAAAATTGCTTAACCCACTCTGTATTTTGTTAAAGGAGCATCTTTAAAAGAGATTATGAACCTTCATGCTGAGAACACAGAATATGCGAATAGTACTACTCTCTGTGTATTTATTGCACCAATTTGTTATATTATGACACGTCGTGGTAGACTATTCCTCAACTGCTTTCTTTGACCCAAAGCTACCTTTTGGTTCCTAAGCGAGGAAAGAGAAACTGTTGGAAATTACTTTTCTTGCCTTTTTGCCTATCTATTCTGGAAAGTGCAGAAAAGCAGCTGAAACTTAAAAGAAATTCCTGAGTTATTTCTTGCAAAACATGTACGAAACTTGAAAGATTGGTTTGTTCTTGTTTTACAGATTCCTTTTCCTTTCAAAACAAATGCGTTCAGAAAATGATTTTTTCCCTTTACTTTTCTTACTCAAGAAATTAATTTTTCTGACAATCCAAACGAAAAGGAGAAGACTTTTCTTATTACTGGCTTATCTCTTTCCTGCAGGTCTTCTCTTATTACAAATCTCTGCCTATGCCTATTACTTCTCACAAGTTTGGCTCGATTGATCCAATCTCTGGTAAAGAGACTGATGATGACAATGGGCAGTTTGTTTCAAGTGTTTGCTGGAGACAGAAGTCAAACATGGTTCTTGCTGCCAATTCCAGTGGCTGCATAAAACTACTAGAGATGGTTTAGATGTGGAGCAAGTGAAAGAATCGCAGCCTTCAATTGCTCCTATTTCCTCAAATGTCCTGGGAATCTTTGAGTGGATCATGCGACATGCAGCTTTATGATTCCTTGAGAAATTGGATATTTCTCCAAAAGTATAAGGTTAAACTCGGGGAAGGCACCCAAGTCTGCTAAAATTGTCTTGACAACTGTGGGGTTGTTAGATTCAAAAAGTTTAGGAAGCTGAACAGAAACTAGTAGTATGGTGGAAGGAGTCTTCATGTCGAAGCTGGAAAGGCAATGAACGCTGAAATTACTCGCTTAAGCCCAACGTAATGTAGCGTTCCCAAAGATGCAATGCGTCTGATAGGTGGAGAAGAGCCATTTCTGCCACCTAATTGACTGAATCTTGAGATATTCCCTCATAATCGATGCAAGCACAGTAGTGATATCATCCATATTTTAGAAGGCTCAGGGTGTAGCTGTCTGCGCTGTCCATCATATGAAATTGCAGTCAAGAGAAATTTTGTTGGTGTGTGATGTTCATTTGTACATCCAGATAGATACAGCCATTGTAAAAGCATGTGTTACAGGAGCAGTTTAGTTGATGATGAGTTGGTTGTACATGTCATAATTTTCTTCTTACGTAGCAATATATAGGAAATTTGTACATTGAATATCAAATGAATTTTAATACTTCGGCATTTCTTTGTGCCATATTGGGGTACAGATGACAAAAATTTGTTGTTTTTATCTCCATTGATCTAATGACATAAAATAGATAAATCCAGAGTGACATATTTATTAATATGCAGGTCGAAACTGCTTCAAGTGAAACCAATTTCATGTGAATGGAAGTCTCCAAAATATGATTGAGAAATGTGAATTACAGATTTTCTTCCTGAACTTAACAGTTGTGAATAGCTGAACAGCAATCAAAACCTGTGTAATCCAGAGAGTGCAGACCTCCAAAAAGTTAAATAATTTGTATCCAAGTAGTTAAAACCTAGCGGATAAGCGTAATACACAAAGTTAATCCATCCTTTGCATCAAAATTTTGAGCTGCAAAGTTGTCTAGTCAAGTTTGAATTTTTTTTTTTAATCTCTCCCAAATTAGGAGGATCTATAGTGTTTCCACACTTCCGCTCCAGCGTGACTCGAACCCAGGACCTAACGGTCATGGGTGGAGATGCTTTGAATTGAAAACCATATGTAACATTGTCAACTCTTGTGCACTCATTGGCTGTTGCTATGAGGTTTCCTTGGTCTATGTGGGCTCATAGCTGAGGGCAAATGGCATTCTCGGTTTACTCTGGCACAGCGCGAACATGGATTTAATGGTGATGCACTTGCGGACTGATATCCATATCCATTTCCATTTGAGGTGATTGCTGGTGATCTTGGAAATGAAGAAGTTTTTGGTGTTTGTGTTGGAGAAGACATTGTTGATGATTGTATTCTCTTAACTCTAGCTGGTGAAGATCTTGGCGACGAGTCCGTCAGTTTCTCTGCAAAAAGCCATTTATGTTTATGTTAAAGAGTCCAACCTAAATAGTCCTCTAACAAAAACAACAAGCAAGGTGAAATCTTTGTGAGCCAAGGGATAGAAGAACTAACCTGGTGCAGTGCTACTCTCTTTGTCCTGTAGTTTTTTATGCAGTGTAGCTTTCTTTACTGATACCTTTGAATTGATTGGTTTGGATGCAGTAGTCTCAGAATTCTCAGATGACATTGAACTTTGATTGGCTTCTGGACTTGATAACACTTTCTTTTCTGGATTCTTGGGTTTTGTTCTTCTCGACAAAGTTTTCCTTTGTGCAGAATCACCACGAACGGGCTTGACATTGGCTGTTGACAACTGCTTCTTTTCTGGTATTTCATTACATCCTAGTTCCTGATTATCAGATGAATTCTTCTCCTCTGGAATTGCACAACTTACTAATTTCTGATCATCTGGTGCAAGCTTCTTTTCTTGAATCTCAGAACTAGTTAATATCTGATCACCTGATGAATTTTTCTTCTCTGAAATCCCATGAGAGGCTAATTTCTGCTCGGCTGCTACACTCGATGAAAGTTTTCTCTCACCCGTTTTAGGAGACATTGCATTCTCCTGGTTTTCCAAAAACTTCAGCTTTTGGTTCTTTCTCATTGATGAAATGGTCCTCTCGGGTGTATCAATCCGCGGTGAGCGCTGATCGCCTGATTGTGTTAGTATTGCTTCCCTTTCGGGAATATCAGCAAAAATTGTCTTTTCATTAGCTACTGCCATCGGAAATTTCTCTCCTGGACTCTCAGAGCAAAGTGACATTTGATCGAACGAGAAAACTTTTCTAAGTGGTGTCTCGGAGATGACTGACCTCTGATCCAAGAATCTTGAATCTTTCCTCTCTATTATCTCAGAGCAAACTGACCTTCGATCACTTGGAGCGAAAAAGAGATCATCTATTGCAGCCATATGTTCATCATCACTCTGCATTGATGCTGTCCTGTGGCCCGAAAAACCATAATGTGATGAATCCCAGTGCTTCTCTTTAGAGTTTCCAGAAATTCTCTCTTTTTCAACAAGTCTATAAGCGAACATCTGGAAAGGAATTTGTGACACCGGGGCCAAACTAGTGCTATCCTCTCCCGGGAATTTCTTTGAATAAGCAGCCTCGATTTCATAATAGTCTACGAGTGGAGGAGGACATTCAGGTTGGCCATGTTCTGGATTTATGACAAGGACTTTCTTAATATAATGCAAGATTCTGCATAGAGAAGAGAAACTAGGACGAAGATTTGGATTTGTTTGCCAGCATTTTCTGGTCAAGTTTGCGAGATATTTAGGTGAAGGATATGAAAAGAGAGGTCTCTCTCCTGTTCTAATATTTCGCGCCATTTTCTCCCCTTGGAGATGTTCATCGAATGGAGCTTTCCCCGTTAAAAGTTGAAAGCATACCATCCCGTAGCTATAGACATCAGCTTTCTCTGTGTACTTGTAAGTGCATTTGCTTTCCGACTTCTCTTGTTCTGCCAAAACTTCTGGTGCATACCATATGAAAGAATCAGCAGCATTAGAATTGGCAGCCTTGTAATTACTCTTGATAGAGGCTAATCCGAAGCCTTTGACTTTTGCATGAAAATAACTCTCCGCGGAGGAATTTCTTGGTTTGAGGAGCACGTTAGATGGATTCAACTCTCCGTGATAGATCTTTCTCGTGTGCAGATACTCCATTCCTCTCGCAATCTGAAGCATAATATCAACTGCAACCGGGATAGGAAATGGTCCTCTTTTCCTTTGGCCGGAATGCTCTTTTATGTAAGTGGCTAAACTTTTGTTCATTAGCTCCATAACAAGGTACCCTTCTTTCCTTTCTTCATCATAAAAACCACAATGATATTGCAGAATATTGGGGTGAGAAAGAGATAACACTACAGAAATTTCATCAACTAGTGGTTCAATTAGCTCCCCAAAGAAATTCCTCAAACCAAAAGTTTCTCCTAACCAATTAATCTCCTTAACATGTCCACCCCACGATCCTAGACGCCTTTTCACATGATAATCGCTTGCTCCAATCAAGATTGAACTAGGCAAGAGCATTATTTTGTTGAGTTTTTCTGATCCATCTAGTTTCTTGAGCAACAAATCTGCCAGCCTTTGCTCGTTCATCGCCAAATTTTCTGTTTTCTTTTGCCTTGTCATTTCAAGAAGATACCATTTATCTTCTTTCCAACAACTATCCAATTCACTGCATATCTCTCTAGTGACTAAGTATTGTTTCCCAAACATCCACTGAAAAAACCTCGGGTCACACATTTCACCCTCGTACTTCTTGGCGAGTGCAGTTCTTCTCTTCTGCATATCTTCCTCGTCGAATCCAGAGATTTCTGCAGCTGTCTCAATAGCCTCAATCACAACAGGGAAACAACAGAGCAAGTTATGAATATGAAACTCAACACAATCCCTATTGAGATGTAAACTTATGGCTTTTCCCCACCAATCTTTCACATCCAAACAACTTTTTATGTACATTTCGCCTTCCTTAAAGATCCTATGAAGTTCTCTCATTGGATGCTCAAGTGCTTTCCACTTTGTATTCCTCTCCTTTAACTTTAAATTATGTCTGATTCCCTCGGATATTGTATCGAAAGCTTGTACATACATGTTCAATAGAAGACAACATTGCTTCTGATTTATTTGAATGTCATGTTTCAATACCATTAGAGCTTTTAGGCTCCCTACTACCTCACCAATCTGCCTGAATTGATCCATTCTGCAGATTTATATGTACAAAGTTCAATAAAACATCTCCTGAAATAGAAAATTTAGGTATACTTAAAAATACCAACACTAGTAGAGAATGCATTGTAGCCCGGTGCACTAAGCTCCCGCTATGCGCGGAGTCTGGGGAAGGGCCAGACCACAAGGGTCTATTGTTGCCTTACCCTGCATTTATGCAAGAGGCTGTTTCCACGGCTCGAACCTGTGACCTTCTGGTCACATGACAGAAAGAAATTAATCTGAAAAAGGAAGAGAGAATGCATTTCATGAGAAAGAAATTAACATCGCATGCGAATCTTGATATTAATCATGGATTAAAACTTATAATTCAACATTAAAGCAGACAAGACTAGCAATAAGATTGCATCATATGAAGCTCCACATAATTAAGATTAATCTGAAAAATGTAAAGCAACAAAAAAATACCTAACAAAAAGTGCCCTTCAAAAATTGGCAAAATTGTTGAGTCATGTCACAAATGGGATTGGCACCTTGAACAAGGGAAAATGCTGAATTCTATTAGATTGCAATGAATCAAATAGAAATTCAGCACCAACCCATTTTTAATCTGATCAAGACCACCTATCTGATAATAATCTTCAGAAAAATATATATATATATATATATATATATATATATATATATATATCAAAATTTCTCTGTTGGAAAGCAGGATACGATCAAACTATTAACAATGACAGGCCAAAATGCTTATGAAATTTAAGGGCAGCCAATCCAAAACTTGATCAAACTATGGTAACATTTAAATTACCAAGGCTGATAAATTGTAGGTTGATCTAAAAATGACAAAAGAACCAGTGTATTTTAAGGTTAAATTTTCTGCTAGTTTTTTCATATATTATTAGAAGATTGTTGGGTTTTTTTAGCATTTTTCTTGCCAACCTGAAGAAAATGGAAAGGCTGCTTCCTTTGGAATTCAGAGTTGAAATGGCCGTTGACACAATTCCGTTTCTTTTGGGGCTGATTTAAATATGTTCCCACGATTTTAGCTGTCTTTCTGTTCTTTTTTTTTTTTCTATAAAAAACAATCCATAGGGAGGTATTAACTAAAATTAACTCAAAGTTATCCATAAACAAGTTTTTTAAAGGATACACACACATACACACACTCTAATATATCGTTTGGCAAGAAAAGTAAATGAATTGTCCTCTCTATGCTTTATGTTCTTAAATTGACATCTTTGTTGACCAAGGTTACAATAAGAAAAAAAAAATCAATTGAAAAACACTCTTATTATAATTGACTAGCTAGTGTGCAATGATGACCGATAAGCATGCTACTTGATCCTTTTCTCTTATCTACTCTGAATTTTCTTGAATGTTTTTTTTTTTTAAAAAAAAAACTACTCGCTTACATATGATGTTTTATTTCACAAGGTAGAATATAACAAGACTATTTCACATAATTTTTACGTACTCCCTTCGTTCCACTTTAATTGATTTTTATTTTTTTTTATCTTTTTTGTGATTTACAATATTTGATTTTTTTAGATATCAATATCAAGAAAGAATTGACTTCTTTTTTTCAAAGTTGCCCTTGGAGTAAATAGCCTGTATTTGTTATATTCCAATGAAGAAATTAAGGTTAATATGATTAATTTTATTGTTAATTAATATTAAACGGTGGATTTCAAAATCAATTAAAATGGATCGAAGGGAGCAGTAAATATTACCCACTAATACCAATAGGAAATCGTGTTAGAAATATACCACCCACTCCTGATTAGTGTTAGGCCCATATCTTTGTTTTGTTATTATTTGTATTGGGCCAGGCCCATTTATCTTTCTTTTGTAATTATTTACAAAGTCGGTTAGAGGGGAAGTGGGGTTATGTGTGTATATTGTTTTGGGCTTATCATTTGTAGAGAAACGGATTATTTTCTCCTTCTCTTCAACCTCAGAATAATGTAAAGCTTCTCCTCTCTCACTCTCAAACCCTAAATTACATCTGTACGATTTCACCTCCATTACTGATGTTTACATGGTATCAGAGCCACAGAATCTCATAGATCCGGTGTTCCCTTTCCTTCCGAGGTTACCTTCATCGGATTTCATCACCGTTACGATCTCCGACGAAACTGACGAAATTGATGGATTTTTTTACTGGTCGAGCTATATTGCGGTCTTCTCTTCTGCACAATACGATAACTATCGCTTCTTCACTGGTTATTGCTTCAATTCTGCGCATCAAGCTCCAAACTGCATGTGTTAGGGTTTGTTGGTGATTGTTCTTTCGAATTCAAGGCCGTACCTTCTCCGGTTACGAGAAGAGTTGGTATCCTGTCTCATTTTCTCCTATTGTCTTGTGATTCTTCATTAGGATTATTTTTTTTTAGCATTGTTTTGGTTTTAATGGTGATATCTGCTGCATCTTCGCCTTCGTCTATTTCTGATACTACAAGTGATACTACCCCAATACACACCCGTCTTCCTTTCCATCCTGCTGATTATACTCACCCTTGCCATCCTTTATATGTTCATCCTTCTGATTTGTTGGGAAGCTCTTTAGTTTCTGAGCCCTTTGATGGGATTTGTTGTGGGAGTTGGCGACGATCCGTGTTGGCTGCCCTTTTCGTTAGAAACAAGCTGGATTTCATCCATGGGACTGTTGAGAAACCTCCTGAGGGATCTCCTCTCATGCGACAGTGGCAGAGATGCAATAATTTAGTTGTTGCATGGCTTTCCAACTCTGTCACTAAGCAAATCCATCGAACAGTCGTATATTCTGAATATGCTAAGGATATTTGGAGGGAATTAGAGACTAGGTATGGGCAGGCTGATGGAGCTAAAGTTTTTGAGCTAAAGAAGGAACTAGCTCACATTTCTCAGGGTGCTCTTGACATTGTCACTTACTTCAACAAAATAAAGCAACTCTGGGATGAGTTGGCTTCTATTTCTGAGTGTAAGTGCACTTGTGGTGGTGGCGTAAAGGCAGAGGAGGAGCAACGTGTTTACCAGTTTTTGATGGGGTTGAATGATGTATATGTTCAGGTG